TGTGTGTGTGTGTGTGTGTGTGTGTGTGTGTGTGTGTGTGTGTCTTTTTCAATGGCATCATATCTAGAGAAAATTCCTTGTAACTCAATAACATAAAGAGAAAATCCCTTGTAACTCAATAACATAAAGAGAAAATCCCTTGTAACTCAATAACATAAAGAGAAAATCCCTTTTCAAAATAATTTCCCTTCATGAAATGTGGATGGCTTTTTATTGTTATTTCGGAAATTTCTGCTTAAGTTTTGTGGAAACAGATCCCCCCTCTCAATAATGATAAGATGACAAAGTTGTATTAAGGATATCGATATGCATTACTGGTAAATTGTTTGATGTAACGCAGCTAACAAATTGTTTATCTGATCACTAATCTGATCATTGAGGTCGAAGGATGTGATATTGTATATCAATATGAAACGTCATTGGCAGTTAAAGAGAGGGACGTTATTTCCGGAATTTGTCAGTGTTATTTATTTGTTAATTGTATTTTAAGAATATATATCTCTGGCACTTTTGTTACTTCTTTTAAATGAATGATTTTTTATGTTGTGTTTTATTGTGTTGAGTGATGTAGGTGATTATTTTATTTTATTTTAATTTTACGTATAGTCGATTATAGGAAAATTTGTACCCGAGATATTACCTGCGTACCTGATATTACCATCCTGTTGTTACCATTTATTATCCCGATATACCTCATATCATCAGGATGATATTAACATATGGGTTCCTTATAATCATCTGATCAGGCACAAACTTTGGCAAAATTGGCGCAGATTTTCCTCTATTTACAAGTGTTGATGCAAAACCAACCATGGCAACCCTGTCTTCTGATTTGCTGTAATATTGTCGGGTAGTCTCCATTTCGAATGAAAGACACATTCAGTAACGGTAATGGTTTTTCTAATAGTATATCGCCGGGACACAACTTCTAAACAGTTTAAGATACATTGGTGAAGCTTCAAATAAACTTGCGTCACGCATTGACACTATGCAATGCATATGATTAAGGTCACTGTGACCTTCATGTCAAAAGTCAAACTAAGTACATTTTCAGTGAAAAGTTGTCCTAGCTGAAAATTAAAACAGTTTATAATGTCTTGATAAAACCTGAAGTAAGCATGCATCATCGCACGGACATATTTGCATTGTAATATATCTAGGTCACAGTGATTTAGTTCAAAGGTCATTTATACGGACAATTGTCACTAAAACTTGTCCATACTCGTACATTTTCAACTGGTTGAAGAAGTCTTGATGGAATTTGAAGTATATCTTCATCTCCCACAGAATGTGTAAAAAATCAAAAAATCTTGGCAAATAAGGGGAGGCAATTTTCCTTTTGTTTTCAAAAGCAAATTTTCTAGTATTTTCAAAATCCACTAGGCCATTCTTGTTATGAACAATCCTTTAATAGACATGAGCAGGTTTTTATTTATTGTTTTTGATGATGTGAAAATCCAAGTTGGTTACTCTGTCCCCTGATTCACCAAGACGTTTTAAACTAGTTTTAAAGTTTCAGCAGGTCGATTGTAATATGAGAAGGTAAATATTTTCTTATTATTGTCCGAAGCATACTTTTTTTTTTATCTTAATTGCTCATGTATTAGTTCATGTCTGTAAGAAATCCAAAATAATGACCATCAAATTGACGAAACATATCGACTTGTTGTCAGTATCTAATTAAAGTTAAACCGGTGAGCACTAAACCCGTCAGGATCTCTCATTTTACTTTGGTATAATGTATAACTTCATTTTATGCTGAACTAATAGGCAATCTGATTAAAATCATTTGTTTCATGGCTTCATTAACTTCGTACTACGCGGAGCCATGTAACAGATAATTTTAATCAGATTGAACTAATAGGATACCCGGTTTAGTCTTTGTAGAATTTTTTCATTTAATGGA